AGATTGTGTTGATTGCTTGTAAAATGCAACACAACAAGCATATTGAATCAAATACAGATTTTTCTCATAACCATTTTCATCCAGTAAATCATCTTGGTAACATCACTGGACAGTTTCCTCTTTCTATCACATAAAAAATTTGATTACCTTCTGTTTATTTGCAGTATTAGTATCATGGTTTCAAAGTGCTAATTTTTTATGTTTAAGGTAAAAGAGGTAGGAGAGAACAGCTCTTAATGCATTAAATCTCTGTTTGCTTCTGGCTCATCCTGCCAAAAGCTGCAGTTACTGGACAATCATAATGTGAGATCCACAGGCAGACGTCTAAAAACATTGATGCTTGTTACACATTAGACCATCCATTTAATTTTTTTAAACATTTGTTATAATAACTTCTAATTTCTTGTGGGCAAAAATACAACTGCTCCTGCAGTCCGTCATACAGTGGACAACACACAACTATGTTTCATACATATTTTATATTTAAACTAGTCCTGATATGGGGAAATGCAAACAGTGTCAGTCTTTTATTTGTCTCATTCCAGGTATGGTCAGCCTGTGGTCTCTGGCTGTGGTAGCCTTAGAAAGATGGTTGGTTGTCTGCAAGCCACTAGGAACCTTCATCTTCAAACCAAACCATGCCATAGCTTGCTGCGCTCTAACTTGGGTCTTTGCTTTGATGGCTGCGATTCCTCCTCTGGTTGGCTGGAGTAGGTCAGTATATCACCATCTAGCGTGCAACAGTGAAAATAACCCATTACTTTTCTTTAACTATTTTTTATGACATAGAAATAATAAAGGTTATCAGACCTCTTGTTTTGTCTTTTTTTATTTCTACAATAAGAACTACACAATCATATGTGGGATTTTTAGACCTTGGTTGAGGTATGTGCTATACTGAGTGCCATTCTAGTTTTAACTCTCCCTGGTAACATAAGTTGCTTTCAGACATGCAATGAACTCTGGAAATTTGCAGACTTTCCCAGCCCCCTAGTCAATCTCCGCACAAAGTGCAGAGAAACCGATGTCAGAAAACAGCAGGAGATCCTTTTAAAGAATTCATCGCAAGCAAGAGGAGGTGTTGATGATGTTTCTAACAAAATGAAAAAAAAGAAAAACAGAACAAAAATCTCAGGATGAATAAGTGGTGCCCTAACCATAGAGGAACGGCAACAAAGATGTCAAGAGAGTTTTCGGTCATAAGGGCCAACGCCATGTAGATGTGCTGTTAAAATCATGTGATATCTGCAAGCAGAATTTATACATCAGGTCCCTCTGTCTAGAGCTTTAATGTCCTACAGTCCAGACACAGACTGAGTGACTGATTGTCCTTCTCTCCAGGTACATCCCGGAGGGTATGCAGTGCTCCTGTGGACCAGACTGGTACACAACTGACAACAAGTTCAACAACGAGTCCTATGTGATCTTCCTCTTCTGCTTCTGCTTCTCTGTCCCCTTCTTCACCATCGTTTTCTGCTACTCACAGCTGCTCTTCATGCTGAAATCGGTGGGGAACGTGTCTCCATCTATCTATTGTTGACTGTCTCTTTTATCGAACATGTTTAGAATAAAAATAGCAATATTAACTAGTAAGAACAGGGCACAGCAAACAAGTGAGCTTTAATGACAAATGTTCGAAATAAATAAATCACATCCCAAAAGAAGTAAAAAAAAAGTGAATACATATCAGGTCCTACCCCATTTAAGTTTTTTCATTAAAAAATATTGTAAAATGCTGCAATATTACAGCTTTCATCATACAGCTCAATCAGCCAACATAAACATTATGACTCAGCAAGAGCAGATAAGCAAAATTCAAGCAAACAAAACATTTAAACATCCTACTTTCTGTCTTACTGTGTTACTTCCCCTCCATAATCACCCATTTCATATATATCAGTACATTGGTTTTAAACTTTTGTGTTGTTATGTTTTCATTTTATCATCACACCTTTGAGATTCTAATGACTTACAATGAACTGACTTCATAGATCTGAATGTGAATGTGCATCCCCACACCGAACAGCGTTTTCTGTTCTTCTTCCTCACCAGGCAGCGAAGGCTCAAGCTGAGTCTGCCTCCACCCAGAAGGCAGAGAAGGAGGTGACCAGGATGGTGGTTGTCATGGTGATGGGCTTCCTGGTGTGCTGGATGCCCTACGCTTCCTTTGCTCTCTGGATTATTAACAACCGAGGGCAGCCATTCGACCTGAGACTGGCCACCATACCCTCCTGTCTCTCTAAAGCCTCCACAGTCTACAACCCTGTTATTTACATCCTCCTCAATAAACAGGTGAGTTTGTGTAAATACATGGATGATCCAGGACTATGTGACCTTTGCTCAGCAAAGAACCAATTTCACAAACAATACTTATGCACAGAATGAGATTGAACTATTTGGAATTAAGGAAAATTCTGGCAAATTCTGCAGAAATCAAATAAATAGAAACAAAGAAAATTTGAGGCAGGCAAGGGAACTTAATATCAAATCAAATCAAAAGTTTTTTCATTCACAATGATTCACAAATTATAACTGTTGCAACATCCTCTGTCCTTATCCCTAAGCTATAGAACGAAAAAAACTAACACAAAAAACTATTAAAGAATCACAAGTGCAGGATCACTCCTCCAGAACAGACAGAAGTGCAAGAGATGTTGCATGTATTAGAGCCCTTCAATAAAATAACATGATTTACAATATTCATGAGATAAGACAGTGTCCAACATAAATGCAGATTTATATAATTGTTTAAAGAATTAATACAAAAGAAAGAGTCTGACAGAGATGAAGGGAGCAGTGATGACAATTGTAATGATGGTCGTCGCATGTGTGGGCAGTCCTGAATTGTATATCTAAATTGTAATCACAATCAACAATCAGCTGCCACCACGATCACAATCCAATATACTGAAAATAAATATTTGAATAATCACGGAGAAGGTCAATGGCGCCCTCTAAAGGTGGCTGTGAAAACATACAGAGAGCTTGCTCCATCCTCCGAGGAAAACCACATCACACTACCTTTAAACTACACACAGTAAAGAACAGATACTTATTTCAGCAACATGTTGTTTCATTTTGTTTTTCAGTTCCGCTCATGCATAAGGAAGATGGTGGGGATGAGTGGAGGTGATGACGAGGAGTCATCGACAAGTCAATCGGTTACTGAAGTCTCTAAAGTCGGACCTGGTTAGATTATTCACTGGTACAGAGTGTGAATAGCCTGAAAAGACAAATACTATATGACAAATGAAATTACGTTATTCCTTGAGATAAAGAGTTGGCTGCAAAGAAGAATATATGTAAAGAAAACTCCGAAATATATAAATAATGTCAGTGATGATGTGATGTCTTTTCTACGATATTCACTGCAGGTGCACATAAGAAAAATGTATAATGTTTAGTCTTGCATTCTGTCTCAGGTCACTAGAAACCCATAATAGCTATTACTCAAGTAAACACTGAATGGACATGCTTGTAAGAATGCTTGCAAATGAGTGTTAAAACATCTGCTGTATATTTGTTGTGTCAAAGTTCACACATGCATGTAAAAATGTGAACTTAATTAACAGTGGAGGTACAGCTTCAGAGCTGTAATATCCGCTTGGATCAGATCACCAGATATTCAGTTATTTGTGAGATGAGTAGAATGTACATGAGAAAAGATAGAGTGCACAAATACAATAAATATAACAGTAAATACAATGTTTCTATCATCTGATAGATGCCGAACGTACAGAAACAATGTATGTTATGCAGGTCAGAATCATGACTGGACACAAACATCCTAATTCCATATTTACATGCATGATTTTACTGAGTGAAAGAAAATGATGGCTGGCATTTTAAAATAAGGTGCATGCCAATGAGGAACATGAGAGGAAAAGAGTCAGGAACAACCGGATACATAATAAAATCATGATGACTAGTTCCTGATCAAACTCTGAACTGAGGACAACATAGGGTATATGAATTCCCGGAGGACAGACTGGGAGGTACCACATTAATGAATCATCAGTTTATGAACAGTTCATGATTACCTGTGAAACGGAGGGATGGCCACTTTCTTCATAAGAGGTTAGTGATTATCTCTGAATCCAGTTCATCCATTATCTATCATAATTATCCTTTTGAGGGTCAAGGGGGGAGGGGCAGCCAATCTCATCGCAAGAGGCGGGGTACACCCTGGTCCCCAGTCCATCACAGGGCCAACATACAGAGACAAACAACCAATCACACTCACATTCACACCTACAGTCAATTTTCAGTGTCTAATTAATCCAACCCACATCTCCCTGTTGGGGGAAGCCAGAGTACCCCACAGAGACATGGGGAGAACATACAAACTCCACACAGAAAGACCCCAGCTAAAGTGAGATTCGTTGCTTCAAAAATATTGCGGCATTCTCTGATAAGAGTTAATAGCTGCTCTGACTGAAAATACTGATAGTTTGAAATCTATTTTTTTAGATTTAGCATCATTTAGCATCATTCTTCTGATTCTTCTCCATCAGAACTTCAGGTGTGAATCCTGCACAAGCAGTCGTCTTGTTCTCACAAATCAGAATGAAATGCATTTTCTTCTGCTGAATTATTCATCAAGTAATTCAAATGTTTGCAAAAAGGAAAATGTCTGGGGTTTAAAAGACATAGACATTATCAGCATTCAGCCTACAGATGGTGCTACACTTCAGATGAAGAGTGAGCCTCCTTCACAGCACAGCTGCCACATGTCTTGTGTATAAAATGCTACTATTGCTAATGTAATGGGAAAGTAGATCTATACTGTCACTGTGTGCACTGCAACGAAAATTTACTAGACTGACTTTATGTATTTTATCATGGACCATTGATAATGGAGGAATATTGTGTTAAATGCCAATAACGTTGTTCTCTCACTCTGGAAATGATTTAATGAACCATGATCGTCCATCAACCTGCCAACTGGTGTATTTTACTTTAATAGTAAATCATGGATGTAGATTTTTACACCATAAAATCAATGCCCTCATTTTTTTATAATAATTTTTGGGGCGGATTTTCGCTCCAGGTAATCTGCCCGATGGAAACATAAAGCCACACTGAGATTGTTCCATTCTGTTGACTACTTTGTTGCACGGACAAACAAGAGACACAAAGCCTTTATTTAACAGAAGATAAACTAAACACACATACACACACGTACGCACAATACACAAAAATAAATACATACAGTGCAAGTGATAATAATTTTCAATTTGGGTTCACACTGATAAACTCAGAGTGTCTAATAAATCAAGTGTTCAATAATTACTATTGTTACAATAAATGTTTTATTGTTTAAAGCTGTTATATGCACTTGTTTTCCTTGAAATTAAGGGTTAATTGACCAGGATTACAAGTTCACCTGAGTCCCTGTGTTGGCACGGATCAAAGTTAAAGTTCTAGTCTCAAGTCATCAAGTCATCAAGGAAAAGACAAGAAGGCATGAGTATAATTCAAACAAAAAATCTGAGTAGACACAAAAACCATGATTATAAAAATATGATAACATGTTATCTGTTCGCTACACTGCAGAGAAGAGAAGGAAATCAAACAATTAAGCAATATTTGGAAATACCATTGTGACTACTGCGTCTGGCTTGTTGTCCATCGTGGAACAGCTGTGCTGCAAAGAGGCAAGAGAAGACTATGGTCATCACAACATCCCTCAACATTGTACACATAAATCTGAGACAAGGATTATTACCTGATCTGAAGTGAACACAAGATCATATGATTAACAGGTGGCCTCGGCTCACTTCACACCAGTGTAATTGTTTATGATATAGATCACCAAGGTCACAGTGGCCACAGAGATTTCCGTCGGTAGTCAGGAGCAGATCCGAGTTCTGCTAGTAGTGAACTTTTACCAAATATGAATAGTTCAGAACTAGCGGAATTCCAGACCTACCCTCGAAATATCCCCAGCACCACATAGACAATAAACAATAAGAAGAAGATACTACAATTCCACATCTTGGATGATATTTAATTTTTATCAAGATACTGAAAACAATACAAGTTTTCTAAATGTCACGTTTGAAAAATCTGTTTAAACCAAACAAACACATTAAACATTAAACAACCACTATTTCAACAGGTGAACATTCAACACATTTAAATACAATTACTAATATAGACCTACAATTATAAATAGCAGAAAATAGAAAAGTTTACAGATTCCCTTAGTTTCAGGATCCATCCTCTTCTTGTTGCGCAGTCCTTATCCTGGAGTTCTTCTCAGAGCTATGAGCTACCTGCACAAGACGTGGACTTGAAAAAAACAAAACAGAATCAACGGATTAAAAAAAACAATGACAGCAGTCCTGGAAAATCTCTGCCTTTCCTGAAGTGAACTGTTGCTCCAAAAGAGATTAAAGTGTTACGGAGTGAGCATGACAGAAGTAATTACACTGTGTTAATGTGTTAGGTGGAAGAACCTGAGTTGTCCGTGTAATCCGCTTTGGTCTACGGGGACATGAGAAATCTTGACCGGCATTTTTCCAGGTCAACCGTGGTCCTGATTAGAGGTTAAACATGTGGAAGTGAGACTCTGCAGATCCATACCCAAACAGCTGCTAATGCAATGTACATATGATGTCCTTTCTCTCAACTAGGCAATCCGGTATTATGGATGACTGAGCAAATGGCAACAGATAAAGGATCCGCAGTAAAGTTTACTCTAATATGATTGTCTCTACAATGCCATGCAGAGAATTTGACATTTTTGCACGAGAATTTAATAATTTGAATAAAGTCAAAATGTGAAGTTGAAATGCCGAGAATAAAGTCACACTTAATCAGAGGAAGATATTTTTTGTATTTCAAAAGTAAATTTGAAATGTGGAGTCAAAATAATCGTTCAATACTTTCACACACACATAGTTCATCTCTGTGTCAAAATTGGGTACTTTGGAAAGTAAAGAAATTGTCAGATGCTGCCCTTCGTCTGACCCAGACATCATACAGGAGGTTTCAGATGCAGTAAGACAATTCAAAAAGCACCTAGTTGTTTCTACAAATGACTTTTCTATAAAGGTAGATCCCCTCAAATCCAATCTTCACATTGCTTGTTAAAACCTTGGAATATTACATACCTAATCTTATTCAAACAGTCACGTAAGCTGATTCACATTTACTTTATTTTGTGAGCTTCTTTGATTGGTATAAAATGAATTGTAACTTAGGAACTAAAGGGACATGAGATGCTGTGATGGCAAATTTAACATAGTTACAATTCATTTTATACCATTCAAAGCTCACAAAATGATGTACTTATCACAACAAAACAAAAAAGAGCAAAATGTGTTGATGTTTATTGATGTACATTACACTGACCTCCTCAACATACTGACTTTATTTCTTTTTTTAAATAAAGCATTTGTTTTAGATACTTTGGTTTCTTTGTTGAGATTTTCCATAAACTGATTCCTTTCACTCTAATGTAACGGTCCATAAATGGTTCTGAATTGTGTTTCTTTAAAGATCACTGTTTCTTCTAAGTTAAGTTAATTTCATATGAGCTTTATTTAAATCTGCAGAATACTTCATCTAGTAGCTCCTGAAAAGCAGCGACTTTAACTGAACGAATAATGGGTTTGATGGATCTCTGTATCGACTTCTACTGATGATTCTTATGGCTCTTTTTCCTAAAATGAAAACTGAATGAGTATATGTTTTGCAAGCACTTCCCCAAACTTCAACACAGTAGGTCAGATATGTGACAATCAGTGAGTTGAATGAAATGTGCAATGCTTGATTATCTAATGAATCCTTTGCCTTTTGTAACAAAGCTATTGTCTGTCTGTTTTCACCTTTGTGTAATTTATATGTGATTTCCAGTTCACATTCTCATCTATCGTGACACCTACATCAGTCATCAAGATCCAATATCGATAACAGTCGACTCAAGCTATATATTGCATTAATTAATTCACCTGAAGTCTTCAGTCCACATGGATTTTCCAGATCAATATTGAGGTCCCCATTTAGAAACACACTCTTATTAACTTTGTTATTTTGTCTGTGAATGTCTGAGCACAGGAACCCGGTGTTATATAGACACAACTGTTTATGACATTTTTAACTTTTTCATGAATGATTTCTTCTGCGATCATTTCCAAAATGTTGTTTACAGCAGTTGTCATATTGCAAACAATTCAAAGTTGAGTTC